TATCATTCTCAGCCGTTTCAAACAGCTTATTCACATATTCTTGTTTCGTTGGTGTCTCCATTGTTTTCCAATATTTAGCATAGAAAATCCTTGCCGCTGTTGACAAATAAACAGTCAAATACCTATCTGCTTTATCAAAGTATTTTGGAAATATATTCAATAACAATATCTCTGGAGTAAATGGGACCTTGAATGCCAGTCGCTCGCAAAGTCGAGTTTTTGCTCACAAGACTCCACAGCTTAGAGGGAACATTGCTTGCAAAAACTATTTAAAGGGAAGGCTCCCTTTAAATGGTTCTTGCAAGCTGGCTCCTTCTGAATGATGTCATCATGTGGAGGGACCTCCTTCCCCTCCAGGAACATCCCCCAAAGTCCCCCACCAGGGAGGAGACAGAACACACTGCTCTTTGCTAAAGGACACCTTGGCTGTGAACACTTTGGCTTGAACTAAACACTCACTGGAAGGCATTTTCTGAACCAGAAATTATTATCAGTGAAACATCATTTGGCATGTGATTGCATCTTTGGAGGCCTCATTTGTACTTTTATTCTGTGCCTAGCGGCTTCACTATGGAACCATTCTTTTCTGTTTCCATAGTATCTCTCCTCTCTCCTTATATATAAATGAGTAGTGGGGTGGCACTTTCCAGTTCTCCCATTGGCTGTGCAATATGCTCCATCAGCCATTGGCCTGTCAGCCACCACTCAAGAGTACTTGCATGCCATTGGCTGGGTGCTAGGTCTGCTCCGCTTCCCCGCCCACTCCCACCTCAGCCACTGTTCCCTGTCAGAATTACTGGCAAACGGCTGTCTCTCCCAACGAAGACACCTCTCCTGCTTGGCTCCTCTGTGGGACTCACTTTTCCCTCAGTGGCTGCTGGTAGAAGGAAACCCTTTCTAGGCCGTTCTCCCCGAAGGGGATTCGAAGTGGCTTACACCACTCCCCTTTCCTCCATCTCATCCTCACAACAACCTTGTGAGGTAGGTCAGGTTGGGAGAGCATGATTGGCCCAAGGTCCCCCGGATACTAGTCCAACCCTCTTAATCACTATACCACACTGGCTCTCAGTGGCCTAAGGCACAAAAGCCTTAACAGGGCGAAAGGTGACATCCCTATAATCATGTGGCACATGTCGATACTTTTGCCTGTATTGTGATGCCAGGTGGCAAAAGGTGGCATGGGTGGGAAAGGGGGTTTGGCCTCTCCTCCTGTGGCACCTTCTCAGCCTGCAGCAATCCCAAAGGTATACTATTTGGCCTACTGAGGACCAGGGCTATTTTTGGGCAGGAACGCACAGGAACGGACTTCCGGCTGGCTCCCAAGTTGGCCACGCCCAGCAGGAACTCATTAGCATAATAGGCCACACCCAAGAGCAGAAACTCATCTGGATTGGCTACAATTAGGGGGGGTTGGCCTAACATGCAAAAAGCCCTGGGTTTTGACAACAAGCAAGGTAAAGAGAATAAGAAGCAAAAGGTGGGTGTGGCTGGATGACCACACTTCTGGTAACATGGGGGTGTGGCCTAATATGCGAATGAGCTGTGCTGTCAGGGGTGTGGCCTAATATGCGAATGAGTTCCTGCTGTTGGGTATGGCCTATTATGCTAATGAGTTCCTGCTGGGCTTTTTCTACAAAAAAAGCCCTGCTGAGGACACCCATGTTATGCCTGTGGGCAGGGTTGCCAACTCCACATTAGGAAACCTGGAGATTTGGGGGTGGAGTTTGGGGAAGTGTGTGTGGAAGAGAGGGTGCTCAGTGGGCTATGATGCAAAAGCAGCCATTTTTCTCCAGGGGAACTGATCTCTGCAGTCTGGAGACCAGACGTAAGTCCAGGGTATCGACAAACCTCACCTGGAAGTTGGCAACCCTACCTGTGGACATCTGCACCAGGGCAGCATTCAGGCCAGGAAAATGGCACATCGGGGAAGGCTAAAAGCCCCTCTCTACATGTACCATAGTTGCCATCCAAATCAGGCACTGTGTGCACGGGAACTGAGAAGAGCCTCAAGAACATAAGAACATAAGAGAAGCCAATGTTGGATCAGGCCAAAGGCCCATCCAGTCCAACACTCTGTGTCACACAGTGGCCGGAAATACCAGGTGCCATCAGGAGGTCCACCAGTGGGGCCAGGACATTAGAAGCCCTCCCACTGTTGACCCCCCCAAGCACCAAGAAGACAGAGCATCACTTGCCCCAGAGTCCCCATCTATACCTTGTGGCTAATAGCCACTGATGGACCTCTGCTCCATATGCTTATCTAATTCCCTTTTGAAGCCGTCCATGCTTATAGCCGCCACCACTTCCTGTGGCAGTGAATTCCAAGTGTTAAGACTGGCTTGGGAGATCTCGGACTCTGCCTGTCTTTACTGTTTTTGCAACCAGAGTCACGAACAGCAAGCCCTCCTCCCACCATAAACCTCATCCCACAGGAAAACATGGAAGAACTTAGAAGCTGCTAACGGCAAAAGTTGTCGTGTGATTTGGCAACAGCAGGCAGGCAGGAATTTTGCCACACGCCGGGTAGTTTGTTTGTCTCTGTGATGATTTCACCAGATGATTTCACCAGAAGAGAGGGAGTCCAGATTAAAGAAAGGGGAGATCAGTTGGAGCTGAAAATTTGGAGCAGTCATGCAGCACATGACCCACAGAGTTGATTTTATTGCCGCCGCAGTTACAGTCGACGTGAATAGTCAGTCAGTCAGTCATAGTTTATTGTGCGTAGCCATTGGGTTTTACCATATCAAATATATACAATCAATCGGAATTTAAAATTCTAAAATTTCAACTCTCCGAGTCGATCCGAGTATGAAATCCCATCAGATCTTCCTGGCATTGCAGCTGAAGGTATTCAGGCGCACTGGCATGAATGCCCTTCTATACTTTGGAAGAACTATCTCAGATAAATAGTTTGGCACTGATGTTGGAGGTTGAATGCCTACTGAAAAGGACGAGCACGCTCTTTGGGCTCTAATCGATGCGCTCACGTTGTCAAAGTCTCTCAGATGTCTTCTAACGAGCTGTGACAGTTCTTGTCAACCTGCCTGTATAAGCTGTAATGTGTGAATGACGGCTACCTTGGCCCGCTCCCTGGACAGGACGGAGAAAGAACAAAGTTGCCCCTGTCGCACAGCAGTTGAGGTCCCTGCCAGGAAAAAACAGGTTGCAATCTCAGGTGGACGAGTGTTCTGTTCTAGGTGTAGTCGGGCCTTTTTGTTCCTGTCATCTCCACAGCCTATTCAATTTGGCTAGGATACTCCCAAGCCCTCTGTATATATATACTGGGAGGAAACTTGATGCTCTAACACTTCCTGGACCAAATTTGCCACCGTACTTGGACAACTGCATCCAGCACCAGATTCAGGTAAAACCAGGCAGTGATGCTAATTTTTTTTTTCTTAGGCTCAAATTGGAATTTGGACCATTTGACTGTGATGGTTTGATGCTCTGTCCATTCAGTTCCCCCATCAGCTTTGAATAATGCAGAGATCTACGGGAAAGCCAGTAGTCAATATTCGTAGTTTTCGATATGTATGTACATACATGCTGTGAAGTTGCTAGTTTGGCATAGTGGTTAAGTGTGCGGACTCTAATCTGGGAGAACCGGGTTTGATCCCCCACGCCTCCACTTGCAGCTGCTGGATGACCTTGGGCAAGCCCTAGTTCTGTCAGAGCTGTTCTTGAAAGGGCCCTCTCAGCCCCACCTACCTCACAGGGTGTCTGTTGTGGGGAGGGGAAGGGAAGGGAAAGGAGTTTGTAAGCCGCTCTGAGACTTCGAGTGAAGGGCGGGGTATAAAACCAATATCTTCTCATATGATGCCGTCGAACAGTGAGAACTGGGGGGGGGGCTAGCATTTGCCACCCTCTGCAGAGCCTTCCTTGGTGGTCTCCCCTCCAAGTACTGACCTTGCTTACCTTCTGAGATCTGACAAGATGAGGCCATATCATACCACTCCACATCCAATTAGGGCCAGTTCCAGGTTTTTTTTGGGGGGGGGGGCAGAGTGGCCACAGCCTCCTTCCCTCCCCTGGCTACCATCAGGCGTCCCAGATGAGAGTTAGTTTGGTGTAGTGGTTAGGAGCGTGGACTGTAATCTGGGAGATTCGATTCCCCGCTTCTCCACATGCAGCTGCTGGTGTGACCTTGGGTCAGTCCCAAGCTCTTTCAGAGCTGTTCCCTCAGGAGCAGTCCTCGAAAGAGCTCTCTCAGCCCCTACCTACCTCACAGGGCGTCGTGGGGAGGGGAAGGGAAAGGGATTGTAAGCCGCTCTGAGACTTCTTCGGGCAGTGAAGAGCGGGGTATCCATCCAGTCTCTTCTTCCTTCCTATCCACGGACTCACATGCCTGTTCACCCTTTCCCCACCCCTTCATAAATCCTCTTAGCTGCAACACTCACAGACAGTGTTCCCTCTAAGCTGAGTTAGTGTGAGCTAGCTCACAGTTTTTTAGCCTCTGGCTCACTAATTTTTGTCTTTGCTCAGGAAGGATGGCTCTAGAGCAAACTAATTTATGCTGTAGCCAATTTGCTCGCTCACAACTTTAATGCCAGTAGCTCACAAAGTAGAATTTCTGCTCACAAGACTCCACAGCTTAGAGGGAGCATTGCTCACAGAGGCCTGCGATGCCCACGTGCCCGTCTCCTGATGATGCTGGGCACTGCATCTGGAGGCAGTGTGCTTGCAAGCAAGCGGGTCATAGTCAGTGGCACTGCACACTGCCAGGAGAACTGGGCCCGGGCAGCTGCCCGGCCTCTGGGTGCCAGCCCGGAAAACAATAATGAAAATCGAAGTACTGAAAATGGTACTTAGAGGGTTGCTGGGCCTCTCCGCCACCCTCTTTTGGCTATCAGTTGTTTGCTGGGAGGTGGGACCGAGGTCACCGTCCCTTCCTTGAATTTCAGGTGGCCATGTGGACCTGGAAGGGGACGCCCCTTTTCCTAGCCGCCGTGACCTACCTGTGCGTGGGCACCACCGCCTACTACAACGAGAGGTACCAGACGTTCTTAAGCCAGCACCACGACAACCCCAAGACGAAAATCGAGAACGCCGAATACTGCGCAGTCCTGATGAATTACAGGAGCGTCTTCCAATCCTGCAAGCCGTTCAACATTTTCATCCACGCCTCCGAGGTGCAACTCCAGGACGTGTGCGGGGCCGGCGGGTACCCCTACCACGGCACTGGGAAGCGTCAGAGCAGGACGTACTACCCCATCACCATCTGCAGGCTGGGGGTGATGACCAGGTCCCGGCAGTGCGTCTATTACGCCGCCTTCAGCACCAGGCGCCTGGTCCTTAGCTGCGATGAGAACAGACTGCCCGTGCAACTAGACGAAGTCCTCACCATGAGTGGATGAACACTGGGCGGCCTCTCGGAGTGAATGCTCGGAGGACACTGGCTGGCCTCGGCACGGATGCAACCCTTCCCCTGAAATAAAGGTGTCTTTGGGCAGACAGGCTACTCAGAAGAGCGTTTCTCTGTTGCATCGTATGAAGGTTGAGGGCAATGCTCCCTGTGTTCCCAGTGTGCCGGTGTGGCTTCAATCTGGACCCTTCCCCCAATATCTCCGGGCAAAACCATTCAAGTCCTGCGTTGCCAACCTCCAGGCGGGGCCTCGAGATCTCCCAGAATTACAGCTCCTCTCCAGACAACAGAGCTCAGTTCCCCTGGAGAAAATGGCTGTTTTGGAGGATGGACTCTACGACACTTGACCTCACTGAGGCTCCTCCCCTCTCCAAACCCCACCTTCTCAAGGCTCCGCCTCCGAAAGCTTCAGGAATGAACCGACCCAGAGTTGGCGACTGTATTCTTAACTTGCTGTTCCTCAAGGTCGGAAGGGCTTCCAAAATCCTCATCTGCGTTTCTCTCTGAAGTCTGGCATTCAAAATCATCTGGGCTTGCTTTCGAACTCGAGCGGATGCATTCTAAATTCACCACTTTCAATTTTTAAAAAAACTTACATACCGAGTTGTGGCCCACACGCAGGGCTTGCCACACCTTGCGGCTTATCTTGTATCTTTGTATCTCCCTACACCTCCTCCAAGAAGGTGTACATGGCTAGCCCTTCCTCACTTTATCCTCACCACAACCCTGTGAGGTAGGTGAGGCTGATAGTGACCAGTCCAACGTCAACCATTGAGCTTCACGGCAAAGTAGGGATTTGAACCTGGGTCTTTCCAAATTCTAGTCTGACACTCTGACCAGTACACCGCACCGGCGCTCTGTTTCTTCCTCCCTTTCTCCTTCTCTACATTACCCATGTGCCTCTTGGTAATCGACTGTAAAACAAAAGATCATTGTGTAACTGACTGAACCAAGAATGTTTGGGTGTGATGTATTTACTGTGTGCAGGACAGTGTTTGTGCAGGAATAAAGTTCTTCACATAAAGGCTCTCACAGCAGTCATATGTAGAGTCACTCCTCTTCTTCCCAGGATACTCTCAATTTTGCCTCTAGACACTGATATCAACTGAGGGGAGGGATCCAAACCAACCTGAGGCAATGAAAACTGCATAATCCACACTAGACATTCTGCCTTGGGAGCCGTAGATCATTTCAGGGGGTGGCTGCGTCGATGTGCAATAAAAATAGCTAGATTCAGATCTAGTAGCACCGTAGAGACCAACATGATTTTGGGGAATATGAACTTTCGAGCTATACAGTTATAACAAATCTGTTTGGATACATTTCACACACATACAGTATGTAGCTGCAGGATTTCAAGTTCTGTCTCTTCTATGGTTACAGGAACATTTTTTTTTAGTCACCCTCCAAAGTAGATATATGCAGAGAATCATAGAGTAGGAAGGGATCTCCAGGGTCATCTAGTCCAACCCCCTGTACAATGTGGTAACTTCACAAATACATCCCCCCACCACTATTCCCTCTAAGCTGAGTTAGTGTGAGCTAGGTCACAGTTTTTTAGCTTCCAGCTCACACATTTTTCTCTTAGCTCAGGAAGAATGGCTCCAGAACAAACTAATTTATGCAGTGGCCAAATCACTTGCTCACAACTTTAATGCCAGTAGCTCACAAAGTAGAATTTTTGCTCACAAGATTACACAGCTTAGAGGGAACATTGCGGCCCCCACACACCTAGTGACTGCTGTTCCAGGACCATGAGATGACCAAAATCCCCCACAACCCACCAGGATCCCTGGCCAAACTGGCCTGGAGAAAAATTGCTTCCTGACCCCAAAGTGGTGATCAGCATTTCCCTGGGCATGTAAAAAGGGGCCACAAGCATGGGTGCAACCCTTCCTGCCCTCCCTCTCACGATCTGCCCAAGTTCACAGAATCCACATTGCTGTCAGTTGGCCATCTAGCCTCTGTTTGCGAACCTCCAAGGAAGGCGAGCCCACCACCTCCCGAGGAAGCCTGCTCCACCGAGGAACCGCCCTAGCCGTCAGGAGGTTCTTCCTAAACGTTTAGCCGAATCGGAGAAGCCGTGTGTTTATCATTCCGGTTCTGGATTTCAGGAACTGTGGGCGAGTACTGTGCTTTTAAGAATTGGTGTGTGTGTGTGTGCCGATGAGACACCTGGCCTTGACAATCGGGATGCTTAGATTTCCTGCATCACTCTCTTCAGCAACTGAACCCACGAATCAGACCATCGGTCCACCAAAGTCAGTAACATCCACTACTCAGGCCGCTTTCATATCACCTGCTGTCAGATCCTTGAACTGGAGATGCCAGAAATGAAGCCTCGGCCCTTTTATTACTGAGCCACGCCTCCCCCCCCCCATCAGCTCCTTCCCACACTGGAGTGGAAGCACCCTTACCACTTTCTGTCCAACATGGTGCTACAAGCAAGGCTATTTTTGGGCAGGGACGCACAGGAACGGAGTTCCGGCTGGCTCCCAAGTTGGCCACGCCCAGCAGGAACTCATTAGCATAATAGGCCACACCCAACACCAGGAACTCATTAGGATTGGCTACATTAGGGGGTGTGGCCTAATATGCAAAGGAGTTCCTGCTACAAAAACAGGCCCTGGACTTTGACAACAAACAAGGTAAACAGAATAAGAAGCAAAAGGTGGGTGTGGCTGGATGACCACACTTCTGGTAACATGGGGGTGTGGCCTATAATGCCAATGAGCTGTGCTGTCAGGGGTGTGGCCTAATATGTTAATATGTTTCTGCTGCTGGGTGTAGCCTATTATGCTAATGAGGTCCTGCTGGGCTTTTTCCACAAAAAAAGCCCTGGCTGCAAGCATTTGGCCAGCAGGTCACATGACAGCACCCTCCTGAATGACGGGAAGATGTAGGGTTTCCAGGTCCCTCCTGGTCACCAGCAGGGGGATGGGGGTGTAGGGTTGCCAGATCCAGGTTGGGAAACTCCTGGAGATTTGGGGATGGAGCCTGGAGAGGACAGGGACTTCAGTGGGGCACAATGCCATAGACCCCACCCTCCAAAGCATCCATTTTCTCCAGGGTAACTGATCTCTGTAGTCTGGAGAGAAGCTGCAATTTTGGGGGATCCCCAGGCCCCACCTGGAGGCTGGCATCCCTAGGAAGATGAGAAACCAGGGGATTTGAAGCCTGCCTGCGCTAAACAGGAATCCTCTGTGATTTCACCATCTCCTTATGTCGCCACCTCCAAGTTGGGAAATTCCTGGAGATTTTGGAAGTGGAGCCTGGAGAGGGTGGGGATTTGGAGAGGGACCTCAGTGGGATATAATTCTAACACACCCACCCTTCAGCACAGTCATTTTCTCCAGGGGAACGGATCTGTGTAGTCTGGAGCTCAGATTATACTGCTCCCACCGGAAGGCTGGCAGTCACCACAGCAGTGAAAAAAGAACTGTGACAATTTAGCGCTTGGTACAATGATCGCCCATTGAAGAACTATAATTGCCCATTGAAGAACATAGCTGTGAGCATAGCTTTATGACGAAGTGAATCAACAGTATATTTTCAATATGCCACCAAGAGAAGTGAATTGTTGAAAGACAGTTTATGTACACATCCTTGTTCAGAAGATCATTGTCGAAACGGCACACCATTCCGGAGACCACCGTCTACATTCACTATATATATATTACTTATTTTCTGTTATTGTATATTATGATTTATGAATATAGTGCCAAGCACTAAATTGTCACAGTTCTTTTTTCTTTTTTCATTGGTCTTATTACTGTGCCCATTCTTGTAACTAGTCACCACAGCAGGCCAGCGAGGAGAGACTTGGTGTGGGCGACAAATGTTTCCCACAAGGATCGAAACATGGCACATCAAGCCGGGGTTTGCAGTCCACCCGAGGGTCCCCCAACCCATGGATTTAAGGCCACTTAAAACAGAGAAGATTCAGCATGGCTCACCCACAGTGTCGGCCTACACCTTTTAACAGGTGCTATGGCTGCCCACTGTTACCCGAGCACAACAGCCCGCCAAACTAAGAAATTTGATTGATTGATTGACTGACTGAGTTTCTCACTGGGACTGGGAGAGTGAACAATGGAAGCTTTGTTTATTTTGAAGTAGCAATAATATGAGGGGGCTTTCTATCCCCCTCCCCAAGTTTAGCAGAGAAGAGAGAGGAGATTGGTAGGTGGGGCTGAGAGAGCTCTTTGGAGAACTGCCCTTGAAAGAACAGCTCTCACAGAACCTGTGATGGACCCAAGGTCACACCAGCAGCTGCCTGTGGAGGAGTGGGGACTCAAACCCGGTCCTCCCAGATTAGAGTCCGCGCTCCTAACCATGACAACAATCTCTTCTCTCTCTCTTCTCTGCTAAACTTGGGGTGATGGTGGTTTGCAAACCCCCTCATTTAATTGCTACTTCAAAAAAAAAAAAGCCCAAAATAACAACAAAACGAACAAAATAAGAGCCCCAAAATTTGTTAGAGGAGAGACAGCAGATCAGTGGTACAGATGGGCTGTACCCATGCAGACCTAAAGCGGAACAAAGGAGATTTTTAAAAATAATAATACGTGGGCGGAGCTTTCTTTTGCCTCCTCCGATCTACCGAGGGAACACACTTCCAAGCAAGAGGAAGATTCAGGTGGGTAGCCGGTCTGAAGCAGCAGAACAAGTTCGAGTCCAGTGGCATCTTTTAAGACCAGTAGAGTTTTATTCAAGGTATAAATTTTTGCCTGCAAAAACACACTACCTCAGACACATAACCAAATATCTCCATCTGTGTCTGTCAATAGGACAAAGCTGGAAAACGGATCAGCACTTGCCACTTGCTCTCTTCTCCTCTCTGTTACCCTCTATTGAGGAGTTGCGGTGGCTCAAGTGGTTAAGACGCTGAACTGCAGGCTGTGGAAGGTCAGTAGTTCAGCAGTTCGAGACCCGGGTGCCGCATGATGGAGTGAGCTCCCGTCTCTAGTTCCAGCTCCTGCCACAACCTAGCAGTTCGAAAGCAAGAAATTGCAAGTAGATAAATAGGTATCAGTGGGAAGGGAACAGCGTTCCGTGCGCCTTGGTGTTTAGTCATGCCGGCCACATGACCACGGAAACGTCTTCGGACAGCGCTGGCTCTTCGGCTTGGAAACGGAGATAAGCTCCGCAACCCTAGAGTCGGATTCGACTGGCTTTCGAGCAAGGGAACCTTTACCTTTACCCTCTATTGAGGTCAAAGAAGACGGGGACGGCAAAGGATGAGACGGTTAGACAATGTCATAGATGCAACGAACATGAAATTGAGCAAACTTCAGAGGACAGCGGAAGACCGTAAGGCCTGGCGTGATCTGGTCCATGAGGTCGCGAAGAGTCGGGGTGGTGGTCGGACTCGACCGTGCGACTGCGCAACAAGCCTCTATTGCCTTTGCGTCTGCAAATACGTAACGACATCGTAGAGTTCTCTCCCTCCCATCTTCCCTTCAACCGCCTTATTTTGCATAACCGCTTTCGATTGGTGGAGCGATGAGAACGTTCCGACGGCCTTTCCCGGCGATTGGCCCACACTGAAGGCAAGCGAGAGTCTCCGCCTTGGGGAGGCAGGATGAAATCCCTCCTCAAGATGGCGGGCGCGAGGCGCTGAGCGGAAGGTCACGTGAGCCCTTGTCTCTGCGCAGCCTCCGTCAATCCCTTTCCGAAAATGGCGACCCTGCGGCATTTGCGGGGAGCTTGGAGAACGGCTCTTCCCGACGTCTCGTGGCGGGTAAGCTTTGGTTTTCCTCCTCCCTCCTCGCCGTCGTTCATCCCCCGTAGCGTGCCTTATCCATCATGGAATAGGTTTGCGTATTCCAATTTCCTTTCTAGACGTATTCCCTGGTAAGTAAAGCGTGGTAACTAACTCGGTTCTTAAAGGAGTTCGGGGCTGGAACTGGGACCGACACGAGGTACGGAGGCCGGAGGGGGTAAAATGCGAAACGGCTTGGTACCAGGCTTCGATATGTAGCCATAAGGAGATGCAGCGTGCTCGTGTGGGGAGACTCTGGTGCAAAAGGAGGCCCTGAGTCACCGTGGGTTTGTACTGATTCACCTTAAAAATATTTGCACCTTGTTTTATTTCGCATTCAGAACTCTTTGCGAAAACCAGCCGTTGCATTAAAACGGTTAGGACCGGTGTTCCCTCTAAGCTGTGAGCCAGTTCACAGTTTTTTAGCCTCCGGCTCACACATTTTTGTCTTTGCTCAGGAAGGAGGGCTCCAGAGCAAACTAATTTAGGCAGCAGCCAAATCGCTCGCTCACCACTTTAACGCCAGTAGTTCACAAAGTAGCATTTTTGCTCACGAGACTTAGAGTTTAGAGGGAACATTGGTTAGGGCGACTGCATAAGAGTTGGAGGAGGTGCAGCATGCCTTGTGTTGGTGGGAAAGGAGAGCTACCTTTTGCGGACATCCGGGAGAGACACTTGGGCTGCAGTCACGCACACTAAATAATGTACTTTTCAATGCAATTTCCAATTGGGTTTTGCCCGTTCAGACTGTAAAATCTAGTTGGAAAGTGCACTGAAAGTGGATTCAGAGTGAATTATTTAGTGTGTGTGACTGCAGCTGTGGGCTGCTTTGTTTTTGTTACATACCATAGGAATATAAGAAGAGCCCTGTTGGATCAGACCAATGAGCCATCTAGGCCGGCATGCTGTCTCACACAGTGGCCAACCAGTTCCTCTGGAGGGCCAGTAACAGGGCATAGAGGCCGAGGCCTTCCACTGATGTTGCCTCCTGATTCTGGGATTCAGAGGTTCCCCTCAGTCACCATGGCTAGTAGCCATTGATAGACTTATTCTCCATGACTGTATCGAATCCCCTTTTAAAGCTGTTTATTCCTGTGGCATCAGTACATCCTCTGGCAGCAAATTCCACATTTTAATCACTCTCTGTGTAAAGTAGTATTTCCTTTTGTCCATCGTTAACCTCCTGCCCATCAGCTTCATTGGACTCCTCAAATTCTAGTATTTTGGGAGAGGGCAAAAAATTTCTTTGTCAACTTTCTCCACCCCATATATAATTTTATAAGCCTCTCTATCATGTCCTTCCTTAATCGTCTCTTTTCTGAGTTGAAAAGTCTCAGACTCTTCAGCCTTTCCTCATAAGGAAGGTACTCCAACCAGTTATCTGTGTTGCCCTCTTCTGTACTTTTTCCAGCTCTGCAGTGTCCTTTAGGAGATACGGTGACCAGAACTGTACACAGTATTCAAAATGAGGCTGCACCATAGATTTATACGGGGCATTACAATATTGTCTGTTTTATTTTCGGTCCCTTTCCTAATAATGCCTAGCATCAAGTTTGCCTTTTTCATCGCTGCAGCACACTGGGTTGACACTTCCATTGAGCTATCCACTATGATTCCAAAAGCTTTTTCCTTCTCTGTCTCAGCGAGTTCAGACCCCAGTAGCCTATACTTGGAGTTGGGATTTTTTGTCCCAATATGTATCACCTTATACTTACCAACATTGAACTTCATGTGCCACATAGTCACCCACTCACCCAGTTTGTGGAGGTCCTCTTGGAGCTCTTCACAGTCAGCCTTGGTTTTTACCATCCTGCAAACGTGGCTCACCCATAGTTACTTCCAGATGGTTTATAAATAAATTAGATGGTGCCTACCCCAATACCGATCCTGGTGGGACCTAGCTGCTTCTTTCCATTGCGAGAACTGTCCATTTATTCCTACTCTTTGTTTCCTGTGATTTAACTGGTTTTTAATCCGTAAGAGAATCTGCCCTCTTATCCCACAACTGTTAAATATACTCAGGAGTCTTTGGTGAAGTGCCTTGTCAAAAGCCTTTTGAAAGTCCAGGTATATACTGTCTACCGGGTCACCGTTGTCTACATGCTTGTTCACTTTCTCAAAGAACTCCAAAAGGTTGGCGAGGCCAGACTTCCCTTTGCAGAAGCCATGCTGATTTCCCCTCGGCAGGCTTTGTTCCCCTATGTGCCTAACAATTCTATCTATACCAACCCACCCCAGTGAACAGTTGTGTCTTCATTCTTTCTCATGCTGTGTTAGCCAATAATGGGAAAAGCTACCACTTTTTTTCGGTACAGATGCCTTTAATTTCAACAGACACAGCTGTTCCTGGCACAGACATTGAGGAATGGAAAATCTGCTCCTGTTGACCTTTAGCCTGTTGCATTTTGCCAGGAAAACTCTCAGAATTTATTGTGGCCCTGGCTGCTACCCAATCATCCTCCATCTTACATTAGTCCTCTAAGTTTAACATGCTTTCCCCACCTTTTTAAAAACGTTGTTTTTCAGGTTTGAAGGTAGTAAATACATGGTGAACAAGGGTGCCTTTGACTGTGCAGACCACTTTTCTCCCACCCTCAGATAAATTATAACTGACTGATGCACATCTAGGATTAGAGAGAAGGGTTTCTGAATGCTCAGTATGCATTTTACACTCCAGAACAGCCAAGTTGCTATTCCCAGCATTATATTTTGACTTAATATGCCTAAAAGGGAGGGGCTGTGCTTCAGTGGTAGAGCATCTGCTTGGTATGCAGAAGGTCCCAGGTTTGAATCCCGGCATCTCCAGAGAAAAGATTTGGCTGTAGGTGATGTGAAAGACTTGTGCCTGAGTCCTTGGAGAGCTGCTGCCAGTCTGAGGCCCCAAGCACACAGGCCGGATATCGCGGGGGGCGTGGCTAATTGCCCCAGCGCAGTTTGATGCGTGATTACGCGATCAGACGGGCCGGCGGCACACCACGGGTCCTCCCCTCGGCACCGGCGGGTAAACGAGGGACCGGAGGGGCATGCTGCGCGCTGGCGCGATCACACCACGGGTGTCTGGAGGCAGCCCGTGGCAAACGTTTACTAGTACCTTGGAGGTACTAGTTTTTTAAGGCGCATTGTCGGCGGTAAGCCACCGGTGCGCTCCACTTCCCAGATGTTTGGGTGTGAGCGCACCCAGATAATCCGCCCACCATCCGTGCCTCTCCCACGGCAACTTTGCCGTGTGACCGGGGCCTGAGTAGACAACACTGACTTTGATGGACCAGTGGTCTGATTCAGTATAAGGCAGCTTCATGTGATTTCATGTGAAAGAGCCAAGTTCGAGTCCAGTGACCCCTTAATGATCAACAAGATTTCCAGGGTATAATCTTTCAGGAGTCAAATCTCCTTTCGTCAGATGCTGTCTGACAACAGGAGCTTTGACTCTCAAAAGCTTATCTCCCCCCCCCCCAAAGTCTTGTTGGTCACTAAGGGGCGACTGG